AATGTATTATTTTTGTTATCACCAAATGTGGACCTGCCAATGGGTACAGATGAAACTGAACCTGGAGGATTTCATTCTGTATTGTGATTGCAATTCAAAACTTGCTTTTTCTGAAAACTGAGCCAATCTTTCCATCTTTTGAGTGAATTCATGCAAGGTTAAAATGAAACATAATGCAAAATATGAGAGCCAATTGCATTTGTTTCAGTATTGTGTCAGACAGAAGCTTTAGTTGTTGCCGGGAACAGGTTGGAAGTAGGGACACCGACATAGCGTAGCCTCATTTTGGGAGCTTTGAGACACATAATGCTTAGGCTATTACATGTAATGGATACTCATCTGGAAATGAAAAGTGAGAATGTAAGCTTGGTGTTTTGGTCACAGGTGCTGATTGGAAACGAAAGTGATTTAACATTTGACCATTTAACATTGATGAAACAGTTTGTAAGGACTCTCAGTGAAGTCGGATATCAGTTGCCAGGCATCTCGAATCTGAAATTTAAACCAATGCTTGGTTTGGGATGATTGACACATGATGGTTCATTGTCCAACAGGAGTGTTTATTTTGATGACTGTATTCATACACAGTGGGTCTTTATGTATTAAGGATGAAGCAACTGATGATAACTCTTGTCATAATTGGTGGTGGTCAGGCTCGCTGACTTGGTTGAAGCATGTCATCGATCCCAATTGCGTGGATCGATGCTCGGGATATCAATCACTGGATTGTCTGGTCCAGCCTCGATTATTTACAGACCACGGTCATATAGCTGGAATATCGCTGAGTGCGGCGAAAAACAACCAACCAACCAACAAATCCATCGCTATATAAACATTTGACTATAAGGACTAATTCTTCATCGCTTTATTGACATTTGACTATTTGAAATATGAAAAGTCCAACTTATCGTGAAAGTTTATATTATTTTTAATGCTCCTGATTGATATTTGTTTAGATTGATACCATGAAGTAAATTATTAACAATAAGGTCACTTTTGTCACTTTTGAGAAACTCTTTTTCACACAGCTTTTTCACTGAATAAAGTTATTTAAAAAGCAACAGCTATCAATCTAATTTATGAATACGGTAGAAAGAATAGTGATAATATAGAGCGGCAGATTGTTGCCCGTGATCCAATATTATTTGCCCTCTGACTAGGTTTCCTCGGTGTAGTTAAAACAATTAGCTGATTAGCCATGTCCAGTGGAATTGGCCAACTGCTGGTGGCCATGAACATCACTTCTGGGGCCAAATTTCACATCCCTCCAAATGAACAGCGGGGACCTCGTGTCTGCAAAAGTGATAGAATTGAGGGCACATGAGTCAAGTTTGCTTCCAATCCTGTCGTCTTAGTCACATGACTCATGTTCAAATTTAATTACACTATCCATCAAAATCATAATTACGTTCTGTGCCTCAAGATTCTACCGATCTTAGATTCAAGAGAGAAACATGCAGTAAAATAGCATGGTTCTTGGGGACCAATGCTGCCAAGCCCTTCCTTGAGCAATATTATCCATCATATTTGTCCCAGTTGGCCCTGGAAAATGTTTTATGTAAATAAGCCCTGATGTCAGTGAGGGCCAGGACTAGGAACCGGACTTCATTCCGACGCTATTGTCAACCAGTCGTGACAGTCTTGGGATAAGCCTTGTTAAAACCTGCCTGATCAGCTGGTCGTCACTGACATTGATTGCACTGAAATATGTGACCGTCCTTCAGGCACCAAAATGATGGGCAGCTTGCTGAGTGAAATTGACACTGTTTTAAGGATTTGTTTCATTTAATTGGCACCACGTCCCATTATTGAATGTTTTATAGTCATTTTTTTTTAAAGTCTGAAGTTTTTATTATTAGTTCAAAAGAATTTGATATGAAATGCATCCTGATGTCTCTCTTAAACTCGTTTTATACCAATGGACAGGAAGCACAGGGAGCGTGCGGAATTAAGGACTTGATGTTCTGTACGTTGTATCCCTCGTTTCATCCTTTTCCTTACATCACCTTGGCATCTTCCATCACATTATGACTAAACTTGACTCATTCACTTGGACCAATGGTTCCCCTCCCCCCCAAAAAATCTCCTTTCAATGCTCTCGGTCTTCGATATTTGTACCACTTTGTCCCTTCACTTCTCCACCCTGTCCATGAGGAACATTTTAGGGGCAAGAATTTCATCGTTTGACAGTAGCTATTCCTCAGCTAGGTGACTCAGGGGACATCACAAATTAGTCTGTCAAGCACTTTGCTGCACTTTGCATTTAGATTGGCCACAGTTGGAGAAGGCTGACATTACTGGTCGCCTTTTTTCGGCGCCTGTCGAGCGCCAGCCATTTTCTGTGATTAATTCTGGCGTAATCGGCATGCAAGGGACCATCACGTAATCGGCAGAATCTGCCAGTATCAGAATTGAAATTAAATGTGTTTTCATTGGAAAATAATGTTGTTAGCTCAAATTTTCTTCCCCATTCAATTGGACTTGAGGACTCAGCTCTGCACGTCCAACCAGTAAATGGAGGACTGGTTCCTAAAAATGAAGGATCTTTTTAAGCTGTTATGAACTGTTCACAGATATTCTCACATTAACAAAATTAAAAAAGCCAAAAGGCTTTCATATGCAGGTTTTCTTATGACTTGATTAAATTAATAAAACATTTAATAATCAACATTTTCTATCCTATTGTATAAATAAATTATCCTAATCAGACACTTTGGTAACAATTCTTTTCATGATAACTGACAAAAAACACATGGAGCTGTTTTAGACTGAAGGATTGTATGTTGTTGATGTCTGCCAGAATGTCTGCCAAACCAGGTGGCAAAAAGGCATACACACGGATCAACAATACTAAGGTTAAAAACCTCTTTGAATCAATATCATGTAATTTTGTTTCTGTTCAATTCACATTGTATCTTTTACAAACTCAACATCAGGAATGAAAATTAACCTGCCTCTCATGTCATAAATCAAGCCTGTTTGAAAGCAGGGCCATTACTACTAGCAGCTGCCATTGTTGTGGTCAATATTTCTATGATTAAGTTCTCACCACATATTGATCAATCAAAGAAACTACATTAACAATCTGCTCATTATTTTTTTTATTAATATCCTCACGTAATTTAGTGCAACACAAACCTTTTTCTATAACCAGTAATAGAACAACATTGATAGAATTGAGAATAACATTGATTTAATACACTCGCAGTAATGACATGTAAACAGTTCAAATGTTTTTCTTTGTGTAAAACTGGATTTAAGCACAGCAAATTTTGACTCCTTTTAGGATCGATATGTCATGATGGAAACTTCACTGGTTCTATGACCTGCAAACATGGTCTGCCTGATCTTGGCTGAATTTTCAACATTATTATGAAAAATTTGTAACTTGATTCAACAAAGGCACAAGTTTTCACTTAGCTTAGGACACACTCTTTTAACAGCATTTGAACAAAGCTGGCTTTGCTTGTGCGATGGACGAGGATAGATTTCAAGTTTTTGTTTGTGGAGCATGTTTAACCAGAATTGGTTTTAGCCAGCTCTGATCAAACTGTAAACCTACACCCTTGAAACCTTTAATCCATATTGAAGGGATTCATCTTGGAGAAAATAACATAGCAGATAAAATGTCTCGGCCAGCTCATCCTCTCACAGATTTCAAACTGTCCTTGATTTCAATCCTCACGTCACTTATTTCATTACACCACCAATCAACAGTGTCAATTTTGTCACTTGATTAGGTGCAAGCTGCTTCCCTGAGATGAACAAACATTGACACATTGTCCACCCAGTCTGACGGACATCTTTGTTCGGGATTTATGTAGACAAAGAGAAGTCTATTTGAAAAAAAGGTTGCTGATAGCTATCAAATACTTCATTATTGTCTCTGTATAATGAGGACAAATTAATTTTTTCCTGATATAATCCCGTTATGAGTGGCATTTTAGAGTTAGTATTGATTCTGAAGGTTTTTAGTGATTGTCTTTGCACAACTTTGGAAAAAATCTAGCTCAAGGTTTTTTGTATATGTATATAAGCTTTGGGATTTAGCATCATTACCGTATTCGACGTAATAAGCGCCCATGGTGATGTTTGCTAATGTGTTGGAAAGTGAACAATCCCAATTAGAACCCCTTCCAACTGATCAATGTAGACAAGACTTATTTATTTGCGTATAATACACACTCGTGTGTTATGTGCACCCTTAATTATGGGCAATTTAATTCTAGAAAAATATATCTGTCGTACATAAACATTTCAAGCTGTCAGCATAAACCACGAAATTTATTTTTCAACTCTGTTTTTTTCACCCAAATAATATTTTAATAACAGCCCCCTATTCCTAATTTTGAGAGGACCCTGGGCGCTTATTACGTCGAATATGGTATATGAATTCTTCAGTGGTTATTTTCTTTCCTCCCAGACTAAATAGTTCCTGCTGCTACACCGTGAAGAGAGTAAACAAAGTTTAAGAATCAGGTGCACACTGACCACTTGACCAAGGGTCAGTGTGGGACTGTGTATATGTACTTGCTGGTCTTTGCATACTTTGGCTGCCTGCTAACAAGGGCTTGGAGTTGAACTGTCAAACTGCAGAAACTCTTAACATAGATGTACAATTTGTTTATTGTCCCTTTTGGCAAGTTGTGTCTGAGGTTGTGGAATTGTGTAAACAATAGGTTGGAAATCTGTGTTTGTTAGCTATATGTTTGTCCTGACAAAACACTTGAGTCAGGCTTGCTACATCTGGATGATGAATACACTGTTAAAACATACAGAAACATCACACTGCGAAACAAATAATTTGACTTCAACACGAAATTGAATGTTCTGTTGCTGCTGCTAACATGTACAGTACAGTAGTAACATTTACATCTACCAATATAAACATACCCGGTCACAAACCACAACAAATATGATACACTGTATTGTAATGCAGTTATACGTGATATTTATTACTGTTATGTAGGCCCTGTATTTATTATGATTTTCTGTTTCAGAACAAATCAGAGCCTGCTTTCGATGGAGACAAGTACCGCCGCGATGGGCAGCGCAGCAGCGCCAAACCACCCCATGCACAGCAGCATATTCACAGAACAGCTTCCAACTCATCAGCTCCTGGTGCCCTCGGTAAACATAGCTACAAACATTGATAAATCTCAAAATGAGAACAATTATCAGGTTTAATCAGTCAGTTATGGATAGATTCACAGGCACAGTGATTGAAAAATAATAAATGTGTGAACAATCTGGAACAAAAGAATTGGTGCTGTTGATCTCTAACAGTATGATCCTAGAATGGTTTTCATTCTGGAAAAGTATGTCTGTGCATTAAAAACTTGCTGTTTATCTTCTTCAGGGATGCAGTCACCGCGGCACAGTCAGAATGTTTTACCCGATCTCCTTCCCCCACGCACACCCCCACAGCCAAGGTCCCCTCCCACCCCACAGCGACCCCAAGACAAGTCAACATCTGACGAGGTAATGGGTTACTAACTTGAGATTATGCATGACTTTCTTTGGGATTGTATGGTGTTGGGGCTTCCGTGACAATAACGTCAGAGTGAGGAATGGGAGACAACTCTGTAATGGTAGGACTTCAATGCTCTTCCAGATACTATATGGGGTGGTCAGGTAGCCTAGTGGTTAAAGCGTTTGCTCGTCACGCCGAAGACCCGGGTTCGAATCCTGACATGGGTACAATGTGGGAAGCCCATTTCTGGTGTCCCCCGCCGTGATATTGCTGGAATATTGCTAAAAGCGGCATAAAACCATACTCACTCACCCATACTCCAGATACTATCAGTTACATTGATAAAAGTGAAAGTTTTTCTTTAATATCAATCACGGTAATGTGTATAAACATTGTTAATGATTTGAAAGATTTAGGATGTAGATATTAAATCAGGATCTGTATTGATAAAACAGCATTATCCAAGGTATTGTATTGTTAAGGAAGTTTCAACTGTGTAGGTCATATGTCAATGTGCAACTATATTTTCAGTTCACTAACATTTTTTTTTTTCAAATAAAATTAATATTTTTCTTCCAAGGTGAGATGATATGTTTCCACATGAACTTTCAATCCATGTATGTTCTATCATCCTTGTCACTTTTTCAAACATACTTGCATCTTTGTGTTCTAATTCTTCATATCGATATCATACTAAACTGCCATTAAGTAGAAATTTGAGTAGGAACATTTTCCATTGCTGTCTTGACTAGATGGGATGACATTAAAATTCCCTGTATGTGATACAAATGTTAACAGGACACCAACCTGAACACTGCTTCCCACTCAAAGATAATGACTATATCAACCACAATCACCTCATCTAACATGGATAATCTGTAATCAAAGCATGTTTAGAGCTGTCGGCTAAGGTTTGAATACAGCATGCCATGGTGTCTAAATGTTTGTCCAGCAGATCATCAGTTAAAATAACGACCAAGCAATATGATTTTAAAATTTCATTATAAATAAATTTTAGTTCAAGATTTTTATTTGCATCAGTAGTAGTTTAGATTTTTACTGATATAATTATTCATCTTGATATGTCAGTAGCTTTATGTAGTTCGAAGATAAGTATTCGGGAATGAAACCTCAGTTGAGCCATTTATTTGAAGATTTGGTTATTTACATGTAGCTTTTGTATGTGAAAATCTGTATCTAATACTGTACTTCAAACATGTTAACTTAGCAAACCTGTATATCTATGCAGTGTATTGTTGCAAAACTTGTCAATGTTTTTGTACATACGTATTCATACTATTCATACAGAAGTTTGTCAAATTTATCCTTTTACAGAATGGATTATTAATTAATTGACAAGTTTTGTAATGCTTGCCTCATCCTGTATACCGCTGCAATCTTGGCTCCATCATAATCAGAACGGTGCTAGATTTCTATAGTACACTGTATCGGGTGCGTCAAAATCCAAATTTCAAAACAAACCAAAAAAACACCAGAAAAAAATTAAATGTATACATAATTATGCCGCATTTTATCATTCCTGTTTGTGTTTAATATGGCTGTATATTATAGACCTACATGCTGTTTAAGGTTAATAATTATGCAGTAAGATGGATATTATCACACATCAACTTCTTAAGATGATAGAAAGGCTATGATCGATATTCAAAACCAGAAACTTTTTTCGCTCATGCTCCAATAACTCTCCTCGTCAGTTTCGGTGGATCTGTCTCTTTCGGTGTTTGTGATAGAATCTGTTGTACTGCTGGTGATGGTTATGCCCCTGTATACAAGTGACTATATTTTTCTAGTATCGGCAGGCGGTGAGTAAACAGGCCGGTGGCATGAAACACCAGCGCTCCTTCTCCGCCTTCGGGTTTGGAGCTGGTGGCTCAACTGTCGGTTCTGTCTCCTCACAGCAGAGTCGAAGAGGGTCTCAGATCAACGTGAACGTCACACCATCCCAGACTACCGAGGCCACAGGGGACACCCCAGAGATCCGGAAGTACAAGAAGAGGTTCGGCTCGGACATCTTGTGTGCTGCATTATGGGGTAGGTTCTTCGATACATGCATAAGGTATAGAAAGGACAGATATTGTTGCTGGTATATGAAGCTGTTTTCGGCATTCAGTATGAACCATTTTGTTTTTTTCAATGTTTCTTCAAATTTTACATTTACAATACAAATTTTACTTGATATTATTACATTCCAATTCTTTCAATACATCAGTGTTACTTCATACTGGGAGGGGGGGCGGGGGAGGGGGCGGGACAGGTGGCCCAGTCATCTAAGGCGCTGCGATTCGCTGTGCAGAGTTGCGTCCCTTGGGCACGCCAGAAACCTATGATTGTGGGTTCGAATCCCGGTTCGCCCTGATGATGTTTCTTGGTTTGTCAGCACCATATGTGCTCGTGGTTTTTACCGAAGTGGTAAATGTCCGAGACATGTATCACTTCGGGTTTTCCTCCCACATCAAGCTGACACGCCGTGATATAACTGTCATACTGTTAAAAGCCGGGTTAAACCCAACTCACTCACTCACTCACTCACTCACTCACTCACGGTTAGACTTAACTTGACTACATTTGGGTAAAATAACATTTCTAGTGTCCCCTGCCGTGATTTAGCTGGAATATTTCTAAAAGCGGTGTAAAAACCCAACTCACTTACTCACTCACTCTTGGTAAGACTTACTGTGACTACATATGGGTAAAAAAAACACATTATGTTTATGGGTGCCATTTTCCTTTCAGGAGTCAATCTGTTGATTGGAACAGAAAATGGCTTGATGCTGCTGGACAGAAGTGGACAAGGAAAAGGTAATATATTGTTATTTTTTAAAAATCTGCATGAGCTGTGAACTGTGAGTTATGGTCCATTTGGTAAGAGATGTATGCATATACTATGAATTGTGTTCAATGTATTTTCAGTGTACACATTGATATCCCGGCGCCGGTTCCAGCAAATGGAGGTCCTTGAGGGACAGAACATTTTGGTGACCATCTCCGGGAAGAAAAACAAGATCCGTGTCTATTATTTATCCTGGCTCAAGAGCAAGATCTTCAAGACAGAGGGGGTAAATACATAACTGTATTGTTGAATTTGATTTGGGAAAATTGTCCTACTATCGTTCCATACCACATACAAAGCTTATGACCACAGTTTCTGTGTTTAAACAAATGCCCAAACAATATGTTTGGGAGTAAATTGTCACACTATAACAACTCAAGTTGATTGGATATCCGAAAGGATTCTGGTTACACAATCAGAGCTACAGATATGCAGCGTATTTGCGTAAAATAAAACTCAAATGCATTAAAACAGCAAGTGTAAATTCCCAAAGGAAGCTTTTTCAGCATGAGTACAAAGGAGCTAATTTACGAAACACGATTACGAGCTAATTTACTTTCCGAGTCAAGCCTATATATTTAATATATTTAAAACAGTTATGTACATCTAAAACATTATTTCATTATTTTTTTTAAATCTTAAAATGTTCACTAATTTGGGAAAAAAACCAATAGAGTGATGAATAAATGAGTGAAAAAATATTGGTCACACAATGAAAAATGTAATAACCCAATTAAAATAGAAACCCTAGAGTGAAAACTCAATTGCTCAAAGAGTTACCAGGAGCTCTGAACAATTACTTGTCAATATCCATCCTTTGATATCATTTTCTTTATTAAAGCATATGTATGTATCACCACACATAATCTGACACACAAGTCAATGTTTTGTATCTTTCCTTTTCAGAGTGACAAGAAGAATGGCTGGGTGAATGTTGGTGAATTAGAAGGATGTGTGCATTTCAAAATTGGTGAGAATTATTATTATCACATTGGTAATATAACATGGTTGTTGACATTATATAGAATTGGTCTCCAGCAATGCATGCTTGTCGCAAGAGGCAACTAAAGGGATCGGGTGGTGATAATAATGGATGTATTAAATTTGTTTCTAGTTTAATTTAATAATGCCTAAATGTTTATATGCATATTTTTGTAAAGTGCATGGGACAACAGAGCATGTTCAGATAGAGGGTACATAGCTGACTCTTATTGCTGTATTCTTGTTTGAGGGGGCGGTCAAGTAGCCTACAGGTTAATCGTGTGCTTGTCACGCCTGGGTTCGATTCCCAACATGGGTACAATGTGTAAAGCCCATTTCTGGTGTCTCACGCCGTGATATTGTTGGAATATTGCTAAAAGAGGCGTAAAACTATACTCACTCACTCATTCTTGTTTGAGAGACAACGAGATATACTTAGTAAAATAATAAGGATCTATGCAAATGCTTTAACTGACTGGAAACGAATGAGGAATAAATAATTAGTTGTTTGTTTTCTTTTTCAGTAAAATATGAGAGAATAAAGTTTCTTGTGATAGCATTGCAAGATAGTATAGAGATCTATGCATGGGCACCCAAGCCCTACCACAAGTTTATGGCCTTCAAGGTAAGTCATATTAGTGTCTTGTATTATTTCATGGATGTTGTGTAACTGCCTTTTAGAAATATCTGTTTCTTATCTTTAGGGGAAATGCCACAAGTATGATACATGCTTGTTTGTTTAATTTCAACAAAATTAAATTTGATAAAAATTCATTGCAGTGTTTCCCATCATTTTAATCCAATGAAGTTATCAGCTAGACCATTCAATAGTCCTTGTCAGTCATTATCGGTTGTTGGGCCCTTCTTCCCCCGAAGTAAATAATAGTTAAGTCAGCAATTTTGGAAAACCACATGTAATCAGATCTGTTGATAGATTGTGACTGAATGTCAAGCACAACTGCGGAGACTCAAGTCTGTCCTGAAAGTGTCGCTTGCATTTGATGAATGTAAAACATCCTATTAGGCAGTCATGTAGTCACAGCCAAGTGTCCAAGTGAAGTTGGCAAGCGTGTATTTCATATGCATAGCAGTGCTTGAGTCACCCACTTGAAACATTAGTGTAGGAAGTATTAGATGTTATAGTAATTGATCAATTGTAATTGAAGTAATTGAGGTGGTTAGAGTAGAACCATTTGATTTGACAAGTCTTAGATATAAGCTACATTTTGCAGTTTTAGTCGACACATGGCACTACAGTTTCTAGGAGTCATCTGCTGCCACATACCCAGTGCTTAAATGAAGTGTCAGAAGAAAGGGAACTATCTAAAAATAACCCTGCTATCTTCCTGTAGTTGTTCAATGCTTAGTCAGGGACGGTCAGGTAGCCTAGTGGTTAAAGCATTTGCTCGTCACGCCGAAGACCCGGGTTCGACTCCCGACATGGGTACAATGCGCAAAGCCCATTTCAGGTGTTCCCTGACGTGATATTGCTGGAATATTGCTAAAAGCGGCGTAAAACCATACTCACTCACTCCCCCCAATGCTTAGTCAGGTCCTGTACTTTTTGTCCATGCATAAATACATTTGTACTGTTTAACTTTGTTATCTAATAAACCTTCTGAATTGGTTGATGCATGTCATCATATGCCAATTGCATAGATCAGTGCTCGTGATGTCAATCACTGGATTGTGTGGTCCAGACTCAATTGTTTAGAGATGTCAATCACTGGATTGTGTGGTCCAGACTCAATTGTTTACAAATGTCAATCACTGGATTGTTTGGTCCAGACTCAATTGTTCACAGATGTCAATCACTGGGTTGTGTGGCCCAGACTCAGTTGTTTACAGATAGATAGCCATCATATAGCTGGAATATTGCTGAGTGTGACATTAAACAACAAACAAAACAATCTCTTGTCCATATTTTCAGTTGTTTGACTTATTGTCAGCTTTAATAATGGGTTGGGTGGTATGTCATGACAAGATTTCTAAATACGTGTGTTATCCTATGTTTTCAGTCTTTCCCCGAGCTGGCTTACAAACCTCTGCTGGTAGATCTGACTGTTGAAGAAGGCTTGAGGTTAAAGGTTATCTACGGCTCCAATCAGGGCTTCCATGCCATTGACCTTGACACCTCACAGAACTTTGACCTGTACATTCCGTCACATGTAAGTCCAAGCATCTTGCTTTGTCTGTCTCATGGTCAAGTATTTGTTTTAACGACACCCCGTTTTTCAGATTGTACTCTTTTTTTTTCATCTTGTTTACCACATTGATACTTTATTTCTGTCTGGTAAATGTTGGGCATTTGGTCATCAGATGCTTGATGAATTGCACCACATGGAGATATCCTTATTGTGCTCATGCTTTGCTTTGTGACCAATTTTACGGTTACTTTATTAGGGCCCTTCTTCAGTATACCAGCAACCAGCACCAGCTCATGCAGTAAAAACTTGAACATTTCTGGGGTGGATCCTGGATTTCAATAATGGAGTAGAAAAGCATTTTTTTTTTAAATAGTTCCTTAACTCTTATCACAAAAATGAGTGTGAAAAAGGTGAGAGGGAGTCTAGGTGAATACTTAAAAACAATTTTTTTAGCATTTGTGAAGATAATAAATGGATATATAGATAAAAGGTGTGAAAGGGAGTAAAGACACTGACATGAACAGCTGGAGAAAGTTCAAATAAACACGGGGTGTTTTGTTATGGACATGTTGGTTAGCAAACATTAGGAAGTTTGGTATTAACATTTTCCTAGTCGTCCTAACACCCCTACCCCAAATCTTTGTTGTCTCTCTTCTCTATCTAACACTGTTTCCTTGTCTTCTGTCCAGCTCCGTGTTAACAACGACGTAACGCCTCATGGCGGTAGCGTCACATTTTACATTAATCAGGTAACACAGCCACCCCAGAGCTTCATCATTCTCACTTCTTTGTTCTGCTGTTCTGTTCAGACAAAGTCCAAGTCAAAAAGGGATTCGTGTTCAAAATTTGTTCTTGCATGTGCTGAAGTATCTTTGTGTTATGTGTCATTCATAATACATGGAAATCCCCTTTTGACAATACCTTTTGAGCTGTTTCATCCATCTTTTGATTTAGTTCATTATGTTGAACTTGCATGATGAATTAGCCCTTTTCTGTTCTGTTGTTATGTTTCTTCTGACCTTATGCCCTTTTATGAACTCATTTAGGATCACCTTTAGTGTTTTTATGTTCTTGAGGCTTTGGATGTGACTCCATCCAATGTTTTGTGATTGGTCTGGTGGTTCTGGCAGAGTTACCTCCCTTTTACCCTTCATTGCATTGACTGCTGGTATCTTTGTTTGCCTAACATACAGGAAAAGAGTAAGGAGCAGTGTGAAATAAGCATTATCTGGTGTGTGTAAGGTATTCAGAATTGTTGTCCATTTCTAAAAGTTCTCTTCGTTCCTGAGTACAGTGAGTATGTCGTTACAAATTGGAGTATATGTATTCAAATTTTTCAGAGCATGGCTGTTGGCATGAGAGAATCTACACTTTCCTTCCCCTTCCTCTGTCCAAACTCTGCTGCAATTTTTGCATCAATAAAGTAGAAGTATATGACTCATGGAAACCATCAACTTGATACGGCAGTCAACGAATGTTTAAACTGGTTTTGTTTTGAGTAAATCTCATCACCCTGATCCTAATCGTTAAACATGCTTAATTTTCATCTTGAAACTTACATTCAGTTGTTGGTGATGTGAGGGAGACAACTCATATTGTCCTACAGGTACTGACGTCAGCAATGTTCATTTCAGACTCAAGGTCCAATCACGCCTCACACAATTGTCATTCTCCCCAACACCAATGGTTTACAGCTGCTTCTTTGCTATGACAGTGAGTACAATTCTTCAGTACAGCATCTTCAATCAGAACAGCAATTTTAATACAAGTGACCCATAGTTTTGCTGTTAAAGATGAATTTAAACATTGCAAGCAACCATGAAATTATCATTGAATGTACTATGCTATGAATCTATCATCATAACTTGCTTGATAACAGTGTTAGTATCTACATGGAAACATTGTATTCATTGTAATAAAAAAGTCGTATATATATTAGGGCTGCAACGAATACACTATAAGGTGAATACGATTCATATCATGAATATAGGATAACGAATACGAATATTTATTCACTAATACAATAACAAGTCAAGAGTTGATGTATTATTTATAATATTCAGTGAAACAATAACAATTAAATTATTTAACATGGTTTGTTTATTATTAGTTTATTATGCATATATATACTGCACTAGTACTAGTATCTGCTGAAATGAGACAATATGCCCAATTAAATATAAAAGAGTGTTGTCTTTGAAGAAATCTATTCATATAATATGTTCTTATGGTTATTTTAAGGGTCAGGGTATGTAAATGCACATGACTGCATATTCATAAATATTCGATTCTAGTCATTACGAATAGCGAATTCAATTCATGAATGGATACGGTTCGATTCACTGAATACGCGAGTGAATCGTAGCAGCCCTAATATATATTGGTAGAACATGGATAAATTTAAACATTGCAAGCAACCATGAAATATCATCGCTTGTACTATACTATGAATCTATCATAACTTGCTTGATAACAGTGTTAGTATCTACATGGAAACATTGCATTCATTGTGATAAAAAAGTTGTATATATAATATTATATATTGGTAGAACTATGTCCCTTGTTCATCATACCAACTTCTAGATGCCACTTACAGAAGTTGTATGAAGCTGATGTAACTATTCTGATGAAACTGTTGTATGTATACCTCACCACAATGTTGCTTTCAGTATTTGACATTTTCAAGATGAGTACCTTCATTGATGTGGCAGATATTTGAGCCAGCAGATTTTACTGCATGGTAATGGTATGCCTTCTGTTTCAGATGAGGGAGTCTACGTGGACACAAATGGGAAGATTACCAAGAACGTGGTGCTACAGTGGGGGGAGCTACCAACCTCTGTTGGTCAGTATTCACACCATAGTTCACAAAGGATGAATACAAAACTATTGTTGATCAATGGGGACTAGTTAAACTTTATTAAGAGCCGACTAACAGGATCGGGTGATCAGGCTCGCTGACATGGTTGATGCATGTCATGGATCCCAATTTCGTGGATCGATGGTCATGATGTCAATCACTGGATTGTCTGGTCCAGATTTGATTATTTACAGACCGCCGTCATATAGCTTGAATATTGCTGAGTGCAGCGTTAAACTTAAACTTTAACACATGTATGTTTGGTTGGTTATTAATGATGAATACACAAGATTGTTGATCAATGGGGACTACTTAAGCTTTAACACATGTATGTTTGGTTGGTTATGAATGATTGATATTGTTATTTATGTTAATGTTTACAGCATACATCAGCACAGGTCAAATAATGGGCTGGGGGAACAAAGCCATAGAGATCCGTTCAGCTGAAACTGGACATCTGGATGGAGTTTTCATGCATAAGAAAGCTCAGAAACTCAAATTCCTCTGTGAAAGAAATGATAAGGTATGTTTAGATGCTTAGATTATTAGATCAATGGAAAATCGTTCCCAAATGCTGCATCATCCTTTTTAAACTTTACAATTTTACTTGTAATTGCTGGAGGGGCGGTCGGGTAGCCTGGTGGTTAAAGCATTCGCTCGTCACGCCGAAGACCCGGGTTCGAATCCTGACATAGGGACAATGTGTGAAGCCCATTTCTGGTGTCCCCCGCCGTGATATTGCTGGAATATTGCTAAAAGCGGCGTAAAACCATACTCACTCACTAACTCAATGTAATTGCTGGATGTTAGGAAGTTGTCGTGATGGTAATAATAGTCAAGGTCTGAAAGTAATGTTTTCGGACTGGAGTTGTACATAAAGATTTTCAGCTTTGAGGAAATGGCAGCGGTGGGGTACTTGTAAACAGCTAACGTTTTCTTTCACATTTGGATGTTGTCTTTTTCAGGTGTTTTTCTCTTCCGTTCGGTCAGGATCATCTTGTCAGATCTACTTCATGACCTTGAGCAAGCCTGGCCTTGCAAACTGGTGATGTGAACAAACCCAATAGCAACAGGTGCTGTCCTTAGCAAAGATAGAGGTGCCCAAAGACAGCTGCACAAGAATACTCAGCCAAGTCACTCAGTGGCATCTGTTGCAGCTCAAGTCCTTTCAGATGTTGTAAAAGATAACCCTTTGGTAATGACCTAGTCTCTGGCAATAAATGTCATGGAATTAATACATAGATGGTATGGAGGTAAATTTAACTATTCATCAAGGACAAGTTGTGACAGTTACCATGAATAACAGGAATCTTGAGCTAAATATTTTAGATGAGTGGTCTATTAGCCATGGAGAAAACTTAAAGGAAAGTGTTAAACTGAAATAAATTCTTTGTAAGACTTTTTTTTGGAAAATTGTTACTGTTAAAATTATCATGGGATTAACTGAAAAGCATGAAAGTGCTTTTTTAATTCAGCAATCAACCAATATCTGCGATAGGAATGTCCTTTTTGTAACTTTTGCTTTCTTTCCATTCTTTGAGGTTTACTGGACTTGATATATCTTAACACAATATTGTTAAAGAAGCAATTCTCCTCTTTGTCTTGTGTATTCAGCAATAGGCAATGTACAGATAGTTCCCTCTTTTTACCCCCTTTCCGTGTTTACTTATGCATTCATCAGTTAACAGTTAACAGTGTCACCATCTGGAAGTAGAGGGTACTGGCATCCATTCCAGTTGTGCTATGGGCTTGTTCCACTATGAATAATGTATAACATTATCTGTGTAATACCTTGCAATCTTATACGAAGTGTATACGTACGATCTTGCTTTTGGTACAACAATACTGGTGCTTTCAGTCCATAAGTCTGTATTTTAGTTCATACTTTTAGTTTCTAGTCATAATGAGCTAAAGAGTAACATTCATCTTATTGTAGTTAGAATCAGTCCTTTGTGGGCTTTGTACACTTGACATTATCCATTAAACTACTTCAAAATATTTTATTGTAAAATAATGAAATCATGAATATCACAGCTATCACACTTTTGTACAAATGTATTATTAACTAAATAAGTTATTCTTACATTGGATGCATATGTTCTGAGTAATGAAAACTAAGAGAGGAATGAAAACTGAATAAGCTAGTCTAGGGGATCTGAAGATGGACTTGCGTTAATAGGCAAGCCTAAGCATATTCTTACTGTTCCCACTACTCTGTGAAGAGAAGTCCATCTTTGATACAACTGACTGTTTATTTTTGTAAATATTATTCCTTTTATTTGTAATAGATCTCAATCTGCTAATTAAGGAATGCTCTTTTCCCCAGTATTTGAGCTGTTTTATGTCTTAATTTCTTGGGTTATCTTCCTGAAAACTTTGTAAAAACTGTGCCATATATTCGCTTCTGAAAATGTTGTAATATAGTTTCACACACAACTAATCTGCTTACATTGATACTGAAGGGAAAGAGTTAAGGGTAATATGTTCTTGAAAGAAGGTTGAGAAAAAGGTTGTTCTCATATTTGAGGAAGTGTATGGACAGTGTTATGTTGATATGTCCTCAATGCAAAAATAGTTTAATCCTTTGTTTTTATTTATCTTATCAGTTTAAAGTTAGATGTCCAAGGAATAGGATCATGACATTATCGTGTAGCATGGAGAATATGTAGCCCACTGATGATCTTGTAAGTTGCTTCCCTGAGTGCATGGGTGAATCATCAATTAATACTTCCACTTGCTTTCTGCTGCTAAGTGTCAAAGATCACAACATCTAGCTCACCATTTTATACTCCATGTATATATTCATAATACTTAGACATGTATTTGCTTGTCTTTAAAGAAGCACAGACAATATCTGTACGAACTGATACTATATTTCAAATTGTTTTGGTATTATTAATGATGACTCTAATGGAATTTCATGGAATTCAAACATTAAGAACGTTTAAGAGCTGACACCATACTTTTACATAAGTGTAAATATTGTAAATATGAACATATGCTTTGTTGATACAAACTATATCAACAAGCCATCTTTTGTATTTATTTTGAGTTATGTTTCAAAACATTTTTTGTTTGAAACCATTACACACACACACACCAAAGAAATTTACTTGAAGTAGCAAACTTGTTATCATATGGAAATTTAAGATCTGAACTTTGGTAAATATCTGTTGACAGATTACCTTTTTGAAAACAGGCTGAGGTGTAAATTGTACCAGAAATGTAAACATTTTGAATACCAATCTAAAACTGTTATCTGTGACAAGCTGCCATTGGAAACTCTTGTATATAACCACGTGCTTTGACATGTACATATGTAATACTGGATGGCGCAAGGAGGAGGAGAACTTCAGCCCATAACAAAAGCATCTTTCTGTATTTGTTGCGTTCATACATGACTATATCATATTTTGTATTTCTACGTCTTGTATAGATTTTTGTACGTGTGTTTTGTATTTATGATTCTGTAAAAAGCAAGCTGTTAGTAGGTACAAAGGCTCTATTGTGATACTCTATGGCTTTTAACAAAGATATGTGCAATCTTTTATTTTCTTTTAAAGAGCTGAAAATATCAAGCCCTCTCACCTGTCATGGAAAATCATCATTTGTAGTCAAATGTTCTATTTTCCGGCTAGTGATGTTTGTTATTGTCTTCATGTCATGAAAAAAGGATGGCTTAGTTCAATGTCTTCCATGTAGTGTTGAAATATGTAGCTTTGAATTTGGAGATTATTGGTCCTTTAGTTGTAAGATGAATTTTATCTAAATTCCTGTAAGACATTTATTTGTCTTGAAATTATGAGAAGGGACTTTTGATCGTGTGAATACAATATGAATCAACTACACCTATACATTAGATGCAGCATGTGCCAATACAGGACATGTACAGACATTATGAGACATGGAGACTGGCCTAAGTTTGCTATATTCTTAACCTTGCTGGCCTAGAAATAAACAGCATTATTGTCAATTTCAGCTGGTGAATGTACTGCAGCTGAGTATAAGGTTATGCAACAAGCACCAAAAGATGTGTATTTCACTAGCAGTTGTCTCTCCAACTCAAACTGTGCCTTTATCATTTCATTTCTACATTTTACCCACAATTTTCCACTTTATAGTATGTGATGTTCATTTCATACTGAATGTCATTGACATGTATTGGATGTTCTGTTACATCACAGGAACTACAAGAGTCTGTGCCTGCCCACTCTTTAATTGTAGTGGAGTATTTAAAGTAATGAGGATCTAAGTATCTTTTATTGACTTAGGGTGGGAGGGAGGTGTTCTGTTACAGCTGAAGTTGGGCTTACTGCATGATATTTATTTTGGGCTAGCTTTGTATGATTTTATAGAGATTCACACAGCTTGTCACCCGTGTGTAGATCAAAATAAAGCAAAACCAAATGTATAAACACTGTGTTTCAATTTTTATTCACCAGCAGCAAGGCTAGATAATGTACCCGTACACCTGGAAAGAAGGTATATATCCTGAACCTTTTGGAAATATTTATCTATTGTCATATTGTAATGAAATCAGGGGGCACGGGTGGCGTCCCTTGGGCACGCCAGAAACTTATGATTGTGGGTTCGAATCCCGGTTCGCCCCGATTATGTTTCTAGGTTTGTCAGCACCATACCCGTGCTCGTGGGTTTCACCGATGTGGTAAACGTCTGAGACCTGCATCACTTCGGGCTTTCCTCCCACATTAAGCTGACATGACGTGATATAACTGGAATATTGTTAAAAGCGGCGTAAAACCCAACTCACTCACTCACTAATGAAATCAATGTGATATAAGATGCCAGTGACACCAAACACAAATATGGTGAATGAACTCTGCATTTTGATATGGATGGACACAATTATTGTTTGATAGCATTGATATAGAGCAAAGGAAAGGGAACTCAAATAACTACTGCCATGAAACGAAAGTCGACTAACGGGATCAGGTGATCAGGCTCTCCAACTTGGTTGATGCATGTTATCGGTCCCAATTGCTCGGATCGATGCTCAGGATATCAATCACTAGATTATCTGGCCCAGACTCAATTATTTACAGACTGCCGTCATATAGCGGGAATATTGCTGAGTTTGATGTCAAACAACAATCAAACAGACAATACAATGTGTAGGACACTTCCTCAGTACAAAGTAGACACAATTTATGGACAATAACTTTGATTACTGTAAAGGCGACGTTTCAGTATAGATCCTTAAACCGTTGTCAAGCAAGACTGATCTATTCCGAAGTGTCGCCTTCAAAGTTATTAGAGAAGTTGTGTCTACTTTGTCATCCATCAACTTCTAAGTATTGCCAGTCAAACAATTCACTTCCTCAGTATGCTTGCACTTGATCATAAAAATACTCAATACACAGAGTATGTAATAATTAATATATGTCTTCAGTATCGTGGCATGTGTTGGTTAAGAAACCCATTAAATAAACAGTGGCACATTTGATCATTAATACACTTCTTCAGTAAAATGCCGGTACATTTGATGGTCAGAGCACTTATTGAAAATACTGAGTAGTACATGTTATCAAACAACATGTCTTCAGTCAGGTGGAATATGTGATCATTCTAGCAGTATTCCAGCAATATCACGACGGGGGACACCAGAAATGGGCTTCACACGTTGTACCCATGTTGGGAATCAAACCCGGGTATTTAGTGAGTCGAGCCAACGCTTTAACAACAAGGCTGCCCCATCACCCCCGACCCCACATGTGATAAATTAAGTATTTCTTCAGTGTGACAGTACATTTAGTCATTAAGGTACTTCTTCAAAACACAGGCTAATGCATGTAATCATTCACTATTCTTTCAGCATGCTGGTTCATGGCAGTATTAAATCACATCCTCAATATAGAGAATGGTACATGTAATCACAAAGACGCACCTTTAAAGTACAGAGTGGTTCATATGACGATGTCATCATACCGACCTCATTAATATTCAGAGTGGATCATATGATCATATAGATCTCTTCATTATAGTGGATCATATGACCGTATCATGTCATCAATAGTCACATAATTACACCGATTTCATCAATATACATAGTGGATCATATGATCATATAGATCTCTTCATTATACAGAGTGGATCATATGACCATGTCCTGTCATCAATAGTCACATAATTACACCGATCTCATTAATATTCAGAGTGGATCATATAGATCTCTTCATTTAACAGAGTGGATCATATGACCATGTCCTGTCATCAATAGTCACATAATTACACCGATCTCATTAATATTCAGAGTGGATGATATGATCATATAGATCTCTTCATTATACAGAGTGGATCATATGATCATATAGATCTCTTCATTATACAGAGTGGATCATATGACCATGTCCTGTCATCAATAGTCACATAATTACACCGATCTCATCAATATTCAGAGTGGATGATATGATCATATAGATCTCTTCATTATTCAGAGTGGATCATATGATCATATAGATCTCTTCATTATACAGAGTGGATCATATGACCATGTCCTGTCATCAATAGTCACATAATTACACCGATTTCATCAATATTCAGAGTGGGTGATATGATCATAAAGATCTCATTAATATTCAGAGCGGATCATATGATCATATAGATCTCATTAATATTCAGAGTGGATCATATGATCATATAGATCTCTTCATTATACAGAGTGGATCATATGACCATGTCCTGTCATCAATAGTCACATAATTACACCGATCTCATTAATATTCAGAGTGGATCATATGATCATATAGATCTCTTCATTATAGTGGATCATATGACCGTATCATGTCATCAATATTCACATAATTACACCGATCTCATTAATATACAGAGTGGATCATATGATCATATAGATCTCATTAATATTCAGAGTGGATCATATGATCATATAGATCTCTTCATTATACAGATTTGATCATATGACCATGTCCTGTCATCAATAGTCACATAATTACACCTATTTCATCAATATTCAGAGTGGATCATATGATCATATAGATCTCTTCATTATAGTGGATCATATGACCGTATCATGTCATCAATATTCACATAATTACACCGATCTCATTAATATTCAGAGTGGATCATATGATCATATAGATCTTTTCATTATACAGAGTGGATCATATGACCATGTCCTGTCATCAATAGTCACATAATTACACCTATTTCATCAATATTCAGAGTGGATGATATGATCATAAAGATCTCATTAATATTCAGAGTGGATCATATGATCATATAGATCTCTTCATTATACAGAGTGGATCATATGATCATATAGATCTCATCAATATTCAGAGTGGATCATATAGATCTCTTCATTATACAGAGTGGATCATATGACCATGTCCTGTCAGCAATAGTCACATAATTACACCGATCTCATTAATATTCAGAGTGGATCATGTGATCATATAGATCTCATCAATATACAGAGTGGATCATGTGATTATTAAGACACCTCATTATCCTGCTGATGCATCTATGAGGACTGCCTCCGTTGTCTCGTGATTGAGTGCCCGCCTGGATATGGGAAGGTCCAGTGTTCGATCCCCGGCTGAGTCATACCAAAACACGTTAAAAGATGCTGCTTGGCGTTAGGCATTAAGGGTTTAAAACAAGGACTGATCTTATATATGGGATCTCCCGCATGCTACTTATAATCATCAAGAAACCTCTCCCGTATGCTACTTAAAATCATCAAGAAATTTCCTACAGTATGCTACATATGATCATCAAGAAACCTCTCCCGTATGCTACTTATAATCATCACGAAATTTCTACAATATGCTACATATGATCATCAAGAAACCTCTACAGTGTACTACATATGATCAACAAGAAATTTCTACAATATGCTACATATAATCATCAGGAAACCTCTACAATCTGCTGCATACGATCATCAATAAATCTCGTCCGTCGGCTATATATGATCATGAAGAAACCTCTTCAATGTTGTACATATGATCATCAAGAAACCTCTCCCGTATGCTACTTATAATCATCAAGAAATATCTCAAGTATGCTACATATGATCATCAAGAAACCTCTTCAGTGGGCTACATATGATCAACAACAAAACCTCTCCAGTATGCTACATATGCTCATCAAGAAAGTTCTCCAGTGTACTACGCATGATAATCAAGAAACCTCTTTAGTATGCTACATATGATCAATAAGAAACCTCTCCAGTATCCTACATATTACCATGAAGAAAGCTCTCCAGTGTACTACATACGATCATCAAAAGAGCTATCCAGTGTGCTACATATGATCATCAAGAAAGCTCCCAAGTGTACTACATATGATCACCAAGAAAGCTTTTCAGTGTACTACATACGATCATCAAGAAACCTCTCCAGTGTACTACATACGATCATCAAGAAAGTTCTCCAGTGTGCTGCATACGATCATCAAGAAAGCTCTCCAGTGTGCTACATACGGTCATCAAGAAAGCTCTCCAGTGTGCTAGATACGATCAGCAAGAACGCTCTCCAGTGTGCTACATACGATCATATCTGTAAGCTCTCTAGTGTACTACATACGATTATCAAGAAAGCTCTCCAGTGTACTACATACGATCAACAAGAAACCTCTCCAGCATGCTGCATATGATCATCAAGAAAACTCACCAGTGTACTGCATACCATCATCAAGAAACCTCTTCAGTGTGCTGCATACGACCATCAAGAAACCTCTTCAGTGTGCTGCATACGACCATCAAGAAACCTCTTCAGTGTGCTGCATACGACCATCAAGAAACCTCTTCAGTGTACTACATATGATCACCATTTTATTGTCGCTTCAATGTTTTCTTCCGTGTGTATTTTGAGCTTGTGACCTTATCTATCCTGGTCTATAATGTCTGTATATGTAATAAGTCACAATATTATATTAAAATAAATGTGTTTTTCGCATGCAGCTCTATAGTGACTGTTTTGTATATGACGGTAGGTGAACACGTCAGAAACGAGAGTAACCACATAAAATCACACCCATAAATATATAAGGGTATATTGTTCAATGTCGTCTTGAGAGAGTGAGTATTAGTTTTACGTCCACTCCAACTTTGCGGTGATGCGCAGACGGGCGACTTAAATCTGCTTCACACAAACATGTGCCCACTACAGGAATTGAACCAGGGACCTCTCGCGCACATTGCCGACACCTTTTCCATTGAGCTATCCCGCCGCGTGCGCCACTATTGCTTTAAACTTCGTACACGACAATCAATAATTTACTGGATTCCTGTCTTATATAAACGAGAAGACAAGTGAGGGTCAATGTCTCGCCGATGCAGTGATTGGGCAATAGTTACAAGATTCAAATATTAATATAATTACTAAAAGGTGATCATAATGTGCGATCTGCAACTGCTTATCTTGTAACTATC